ACCTGTAAAAATGGCAATTTCATATGGTTCGAACCCCACTGTGACTATTGGTGTTTTGTTGTCCAGACGAGGGGGGGGGGGGCGCCTGGGTCTCTTGTGGGGTGAGCATCTCCTCCCGGTGTTGCTCCTTTTTGCCAAAAGGCGGATGTCCCAGTTCACCTGCGTCTGTCAGTGGGGTCTCAGGATCACCAAGTTCTGCCTTAGAACACGTGTCTGGTCATCTTCTAGGACAGCGGTTCTCAACCTGTGGGTCTCGACCCCTTTGGCGGTCGAACGACCCTTTCACAGGGGTTGCCTAAGACCATCCTGCATCTCAGATATTTACATGATGATTCATCACAGTAGCAACATTACCGTTATGAAGTAGCAACGAAAATAATTTTATGGTTGGGTCACCACATGAGGAACTGTATTTAAAGGGCCAGAAGGTTGAGAACCACTGTGCTAGGACATGAGTGTCTGTGTGTCACTCGTCATGTGTGTGTACGCATGGGTGGGTGCCCACGGCCGATACATGTGTGTTCATGCGTGTGGTTGGGATTGAAACCCACCCACTGGGTTATTCCCAGCAGAAGTGGGCCACCCCTCCCCCCCCAGAAACCCAGACAGGGCTCCGCCTGGGGGAGAGGGACAGAGCAGGAGGATCGCAGGAGAAATAACAATAATTGTCAGTGTGGAGCGATGACTTGCGCCAGGCTGAGCGCTCCACCTGAGCCCTGTCCTATAGGAACAGAAAGTGAGCTACGGCCCTAACCTGTTTGGCTCAGTGGATAGAGCGTCAGCCTGCGGACTCAAGGGTCCCAGGTTCGATTCCGGTCAAGGGCATGTATCTTGGTTGTGGGCACATTCCCAATGTGGGGTATGCAGGAGGCAGCTGAGTCGATGTTCCCTCCCGGGAAGGCCAAGTGGGCCTGGCTTCCACTTACAGCTGAGACAGTAAATATCTTTTTAAATAAATTCATTCCACGTAAAGAAAGGGACTTGGTTTTAAAGAAACGATCGCCCCGCGTGGTATCGGGTGTAGGACAGCTTGCGAAGTGGGATGAGACCATGGGGTTTGGGGAACGTTGGTCCAGATCCCCTGTCCCCCTCCTCCCCAACGTTGCTGCTCGGGGCTCGTTCCCCAGCCTCCTGATTCTGCTCTCGCCCTTCCTCTATCCAGCGGTTCTCAACCTGTGGGTCGCGACCCCTTTGGCGGTCGAACGACCCTTTCACAGGGGTCGCCTAAGACCATCCTGCATCTCAGATATTTACATGATGATTCATCACAGTAGCAACATTACAGTTATGAAGTAGTAACGGAAATAATTTTATGGTTGGGTCACCACATGAGGAACTGTATTTAAAGGGCCAGAAGGTTGAGAACCACTGTTCTAGGACATGAGTGTCTGTGTGTCACTCGTCATGTGTGTGTACGCGTGGGTGGGTGCCCACGGCCGATACATGCGTGTTCATGCGTGTGGTTGGGATTGAAACCCACCCAACTGGGTTATTCCCAGCAGGAAGTGCCCCCCCCCCCCAGAAACCCAGACAGGGCGCCGCCTGGGGGAGAGGGACAGAGCAGGAGGATTGCAGGAGAAATAACAATAATTGTCAGTGTGGGGCGATGACTTGCGCCAGGCTGAGCACTCCACCTGAGCCCTGTCCCATAGGAACAGAAAGTGAGCTACGTACGTGGTTTAAAATGTCCTCATAGCTACACTAAAACCATGTAAAACAAAACAGGTGAAATTAATGTTAGTAATATATTTTATTTAGCCCAATTGTACCGGGATTCGGCAAGCTGTCCGTAGAAGGCCAGGTAGTCAATAGTGGAGGCTTTGCCGGCCATACAGTCTCCTTTGCAGCCAAACTTTGGCCTGGTGTGAACTCAGCCAGACACCATATGTGACGATGGGCGTGCTTGTGTGCCGACAAAACTTGACATGTGAACGTCATGTAATTTCCATGTGCCACAAAATATGGTTCCTCTTTTGACTTTGTCCAGCCACTTAAAAACGTGAACACCCGTGTCAGCCTGCGGGCCGTAGTGAAAAAGGCAGCGGGCACTGGGCCACAGATATGTAGTGTGCTTTCTATCAAAATATTCTCATTTTAGTAGGTCATCCATACAAAAATATGAATGAGACATTTTACTTTCTGTCTTGCACACTCAGGCTTCAAAATCCAGATGGGTAGCCCATCTGATACAGATGCTACATTTTCCATGGAAATACTTGGATTTCGTAAGGTTTACAGTTGAAAAAGACCCTACTTGTTCCAACCTCCTCCCCCCTTAGCACTTTTCAATAACTGAACCAAGAATCACCGTTTATATTTAAATTAGTTTAAATTAAATAAAATGAAAAAATTCAGCTCCTCAGGCATCCTGGCTGCATGTCAAGGGCTCAGCAACCACACGAAGCCGGTGACTCCTGTATTGTATCCTTTAACAAAAAGTTTTATCAATTGATTGATTTTCAGAGAGAGAGAGGAAGGGAGAGAAAGACACACACAGAGACATTGATTTGTGGTTCCACTTATTTTTAAAAAAATATATTTTATTGATTTTTTACAGAGAGGAAGGGAGAGGGAGAGAGAGTTAGAAACATCGATGAGATGCCTCCTGCACACCCCCCACTGGGGATGTGCCCGCAACCAAGGCACATGCCCTTGACTGGAATCGAACCTGGGACTCCTCAGTCCACAGGCTGATGCTCTATCCACCGCATCGAGCCAAACCGGTCAGGGCAATGTGGTTCCACTTATTTATGCATCCATTGGTTGATTCCTGTATGTGCCCTGACCTGGGATCGAACCCACAACCTTGGCAGATCAGGATGTCGCCCCTAACCAACTGACCTACCTGGCCAGGGCACAGCTCTCTAAATGACTAACTCAATTCATAATAAACCCCAAGGTGGGGACTGGTGCCACAGGAAGCAGTTTAGCAGAGAGGAGGACAGAGAGCCAGGCTGCTGAGGGACCTTGGGTAAGAGAAGACACCTGTGTGCCTCAGTTTCTTTATCTGTAACAGGAGAGAGTAACAGTACCTACCTCATTAGAGCAGTGCTTAGCACGTGCCACGGGCTAAATCCCCATTTTTCAGTCCATAAAACAGGAGGCACCCCTCCCCTCTGATTCTGGACTCTTCCAGCCCCACAGACTGGCACCCGGTCCTGGCAGGGAGAGAGGAGAGGAGAAGGTGAACCATGCCACGCCTGGGGGAATCGGAGAAACCTACTCCACCTATGGGCTTCCTGGCCTTGGGCAACGCATGCCTGGTTTTGCCATCTCTGTGGTGGCAGTAAACATTACCCTGTCCCACGGGGCTCGCCAGAGGCGGAAACCCAGTGTATAAGGTTGTGGTTTAGTGATTGGATCCTTAGGGTTCCAATCCTGGCTCCTCGGCTTTCCAGGTGTGAGCGTGGGCAGGCGGCTGCACCTGTGAACTCATCTGTAAAACGAGGATGCTAATAAGTGAACCTGTTGTGAGGTTTAAACTAAGTTCTTAAAAAAGGCTTAGAGCAGCCCCTGGTACATACCATATTATATTGTCTTTTATTTAAAAAAATATATTTCTTTATTTCAGAGAGGAATGGAGAAAGAGAGATAGAAACATCAATGATGAGAGAGGATCATTGATTGGCTGCCTCCTGCACGCCCCCTACTGGGGATCAAGCCTGCCACCCAGGCATGTGCCCTTGGCCGGAATCAAACCTGGGACCCTTCAGTCCGCAGGCCAATGCTCTATCCACTGAGCCAAGCCGGCTAGGGCTGTATTGTTCTTTTAGATGTACAGTATATTATTATACCTATTATTGTCTCAACAGTAAGGAACCTTTGATCGTGAGATGAATCATTATTTTTTAAAATATATTTTTATTGATTTCAGAGAGGAAGGGAGAGGGAGAGAAAGATAGAAACATCAATTATCATTGATCAGCTGCCTCCTGCACGCCCCCTACTGGGGACGGAGCATGCAACCCAGGCACAATGCGTCCTTGACCAGAATGGAACCCGGGACCCTGCAGTCCACAGGCCCACGCTCTATCCACTGAGCTAAACCGGCTAGGGCCGAATCATTATTTTATGTGCCATCAAGAAAGGGGAGGATTCCTGTTAATTAAATGTGACAATTCACTGAATGTAACCCTCATGGATTTAAAAGTTGTTAAAAATGTGGATAAATTCATTTGAATCAATGCAACCGGGAATGCCTTGATAGCTGTTCGCCACAATTATTTTAACTAATGACAATAACACTGGATACTCAGGGTTTTTTATTTTTACTTTTTTACAAGAAAGAGGATGCTATCCTTGGCTTGGGAAAAACCCAGGCGTCTCCCTTCCAGAAACGACCCATTCACCTTGCCATCCCCTCTCTGTCTCCAGCAGGACGTGCCCAAACCTAGCCCGGCAGCCCGCCAGTGCTCCGGCCCGGCCCCCGGCCC